GCGAGTGAAGTGTCACACGGTAACGTGAGTGATAAAGTGATAGACGTAGGAACACTCGCCGCGGCACTAGCGCAGGTCACGCGCAGTTCGAGAGAGCCCCCGAAGTACATGCAGCGGCTACCAGTCTTCGACGGAAAACCCGGTGAGTGGATAGCTTATAAGGCCACGTATTGTGACTCACACACGTACTTTTCTAGCGTAGAAAACGTAGCTAGGATTAGGATAAGCCTCAGAGGCGCCGCAAAGGAAGCTGTAGGGAGCTTATTATTTATTCAATCTGACCCTCAGGTCATTCTAGACGCACTAGAAAGACGTTTTGGTAGGCCTGAGGCCTTGATAATGACAGAATTAGATAATGTAAAGTTATTACCTAGATTAAACGATAACCCTAGGGATATTTGCATATTTGCTAGCCGTATTGCAAACACGGTGGGTACGGTAGAAGCACTACATAGAATTCAGTATTTACATAGCCCCGAAATATCGCGTAATATCATAGAAAAGTTAACGCCAATATTAAGAAATAAATGGTATGATTACGCGGCTTATAGAAAGCACGAAGATATTCCCGTATTGAAACTGTTATCTATGTTCATGAATGAAGAGGCCGACAAGTGTAGCGCGTACGCGCTGCCGGAGCATGTTAGTGATAACGCCATTGATGTACGACAACGGCGCAGAGTTGAGCGCACGTTCGTCGTGAGTAAAAGGACATCAAGTGAGCTATGCCCGGCATGCAAGCAACACGGCCACAAGTTACCAGACTGCAATAAATATAAGCAGCTAGACATAGATACTAGGTGGAATGTAGCGAAATATAATAAGATGTGTTTTAGATGTTTACAAAATAAACATAGAAGATATATGTGCAGAGCGCCTATTTGTGATGTAAAGGGATGCAACATGAAACATCATAAACTGTTGCACAAAGAACATGATGATAAGACGACTCACAACAGAGCGCCGCACGCGCCGCCATCAATGACGCCCGTTATCACACATGAATCCGTGACGTCAGCGCGCGAGACAGTATCAACAACTTCGCCTCGGAAGCGCCGCGCGTACTTGAAGATACTTCCTGTGACGTTACGCGGACCACGTACAAGCATAGATACATACGCCTTGTTAGACGATGGGAGTACAGTCACCTTGTTAGACGCGACAGTGGCAGACATCCTAGGTGCAGATGGGCCAGCTAGTCCTATGCAGATACAAGGCCTAGGTACGGAAGTCAAGCATGAGCAAAGCCGCACTGTTAGTCTCCACATACAAGGCAAGTACCACAGCGTCCCGCAGAAGATAGAGGCAGCGCGCACTGTAAATAGGTTAGAAGTCATGGCGCAGACTGTACATACAGAAGACATAAACAACTGTAGGCATTTAAACGACATATGAAGCACTCTTGTTTATGAACACGCGCGACCACTGATTTTGATAGGTCAATATAACTGGCATTTATTAGTAGCCACGAAAACACGTTCAGGTGCACGTGATCAACCGGTAGCATCGTACACAAAGCTCGGTTGGGTATTACATGGATGTCATTACTCAGTAAATAAAGACAGAAGAACATTTTGCGGCCACATTAATATCAGTAAAAATCCAGAACCAGTTGAAGCAACCGTGAGAAACTTTCAATCAGAATCAGTATATTGTGTAGAACCTAGGATACCTAAAAACAAACCGCAACAGCAAAACTTAGGTACCCTAGGTCAGAAGTGTCGACGATCGCCCGATTACAGGATCGCGACCGGACCAATGAGGAAACCAGTAGCATCTACAGTACCTAACAACCACCTAGGTACCCTAGATCTAGATCGGTGTCTAGATAAGGACGACGAACGCGTCAATCATCATGTAATCAACAAAGTGAATAGTCCAGTTAAGTACATACCCACACTTGCTGCTTACGCTCAACGCGCCGAAGAACAAAAGGACAAGGATGTGCATACCGGAAGCGTATCAAAGGATACCGCCGCCACACAGAATAACAAAGCGGCGCCTAGTAACAGCGCGTTATCAGTACTATGTACATGTGGCGCAAGCGCACGTGTTATACGTTTGCGCGGGAGAATCACAGCGATGGCAAACGTGAATGCAGATATAAAAAAACCCTGTTATACTCACAAGTAAACACAGGTCCAAGAAGCTACGTATTGCGTATTTATATTACGGGAACAAGCATCATAGGATTAAAAAACTACAGCGATCTGTGAATTGTGTTATTAAGGGCTGTTTAAATTGTAGAATAAGAAATGTAAAGCCAGCTAACTCCTCTACGTACTCGTACCCTCGAGGTTTAGGTATTAGCCTTAGGTATTAGATTAATTTGGATCTCATTTATAGATAACGGTGAGTTTATAGATATAGGTCGATAGTCATAGGTATAGGCATATAGGTATATATAGGTATAAGTTAGTTTGTAGACATGGGATAGCTATAGTTATAGGTATAAATATAGATATAGGTTAGTTTGTAGGTATAGATTAGTCTCGCTAGCTATTTCAAGGCGGCAGATAGGGACCTAGGTGAAGTGCCTTAAGCACTTTAGGTAGTGAGTCCAATGCGCGGTCTATAAGCTTGAAGCTTATACCACCGGTGTCGCCGTTTTGGCAAAAATGGGTACGTGAATACCAGCCGCTCCTTCAAGACCGGCGGGAGCCCTACAGCAGCTGCACCCCACCCAAGGTTGGAGACGTCATCGTGATCTCCGACCCTTACCTCCCACGCAACAGTTGGTTCAGAGGAAGGGTGACATAGGTGCTGCCAGACGCAGATGGAGAGGTACGAGTAGACCACAACGTCATGACCAGACGACTCGTACTACGAAGAACAGCGAAGCGCATTGTCTTGCTCACCAAGGAGTCGCCTGATGGCGACGGCGGGAGAAATGTGCACGACGGCAATGCTAGGCCGCGAGCCGCCCGCGACGTGTTCCGAACTTGTCCGAACCATGACGAAAAGGCAAGTTCAGACACGAATATCAAAGGCGTGCGGCAGCGATCCTTTGTTCCGCGCCGCCGCTGCTTGGTTTGAACTTGCCTTTGAGCATGTACGGACATGATTCCGTCGCAGAGCGGCCGAGTCGCGCGCCCATAGCGACAGGATTAATCCTGTCCGCGCGCGGCTCGCCTATAAAAGGACGCCTCCTTGCGAGGCGCGATCAGTTGTCAATGAAATATCACGCAGTCAGTGTGTAAATGTATGTAGTCATTATATGTAAAAAGTCGATCACAGCCAGTCGACGTAATATTGTGAATCTCCACTAGTGTTAACATTATCGCAATAAAAGTATATCAGTGTACAAGAGTCTCTCCAGTTTTCATTATACAGTCCACTTGCTCTCCACAAAAACCACCAAGCTCGTCCAGGACAGATCCACAGCTTGATCCCTCCGAGCCCGTACAGAGGCAGTCAATATATAATTATTTATAAGCATATTTTTTTTAAGAGGGAAGATCATCCAATGACTGTGTGTGGAGTGTCAGATTCTTACTGACTAAAACCACCCCGTTCCTTCTCCTGCACGTCGAGCCAGAGCCCCGGTTACCCGTTAGGTTCTCCGCGACATATGCATATATTTAGAACTAGACTATAATATACAATATATAACAGTAATATAATGTTAATACATTGTTGTATATGGATGTGTTCACACCAGTTTATGTGACGCGCATAATTAGTGAACGATTAGTGAAATATTTATTAATATTAGCTTTGAGATGGATCTCTTGATACTAAACTAGTTTAAATGAGACATGAGATATATATCGTCTCAAGATGACGACATTGTCTACATCTACACTAATAGTATGAAGAGGAAAGACTTGATTTTTTGTTTGTTTGTTTGACCTGAATAGGCTCCGAAACTGCCGGGCAGATTAGAAAAATTATTTTACTATTAGAATCCTACATTACCGATGATAAACATAGGCTATAATGAATAAGAGAGAAGAAACGGAACCGTGTGATAATTTCGATAATGTACCTAACCCAATGTGTGTGTGCTTATAGGAACTTACTTTGACTGCTAATAGGAAACTGTTTTCAAGGACGAATAATAAGTATTTAGCTGCATCAGAATCAGGGATTTTAAGGAAACAATATGAATTTAATTAACTGAATACATTTTATTCATGGACTAGCTTCTGCCCATCGCTTTTGAGGGCAGGTTTACAAAAGATAAAAAAGAATTGGTGCCCGATGTTTTGCTGCTCACAGACATGATACCAATTTGACTTGAAAATTACGAAATTCTCCTACATTTTGTATCTTGTGGATTAGAAAAAAACAAAATGTAGCCTACGCTATTTTCAATCCTTTCAACTTTCTCCACTCAATAAATCAATCACGTCAATTTCTAACAAAACAAACAGACACACATAAATTTATAACATTAAGTGTGGGAGAGCCATGCTTCGGCACGAATGGACCAGCTCGACCGGAGTGATACCACGGCCTTATAGAAAACCGACGTGAAGCAACGCTTGCGTTGTGTTTCGTCGTGTGAGTAAAGTTACCGGAGACCCAATTACCCTCCTCCCTAGTCTCCCGAATCCCCGAATCCTCCACAATCCTCAAATTCTAAATTTCCAAAAGGTCGGTAACGCACTTGTAACTCCTTGGTGTTTTGGGTGTCCATGGGCGACGCCAATTGCTTACCATCAGGTGATCCGTCAGCTCGTTTACCGGCTTATGCTATAAAAAAACATATACATTTCTATGTTATCTGACATATTTTTGAGAAGTGAGTTTTATACCAATGACAATTTATTTATTTTGTCATCATGATATAACATTGAGGTATGCAAAGAGGCTGAATACTAATATTATTGACCACTGAACCTATTCGATTGAAATTCGGTCCAACGACAGTTTGAGATACTGACACTGGAAAGGACGTATGATTGTTCTATCCCTGTAACCCCACGGGACAGGAAGTGCGTTGAACTTCTGGGTCTCTCTATCTTTCAAACCATTGCACTTATTCAAGTGGAATTCGGTACGACGATAGTTTGAGACTCGGAAAATTACACCTGGGAGTTTTCAACCGCTGTCTGCTATAATGTGTCGAGTAGTATTCACAGACGCAGCTGTGTGACGCAATTATATCTAACTGCTGCTTGAGCGCGTTATACCTATGTCAAAGTCAAAGTCAAAGCATTTATTTCAATTAAACCATAATTTGGTACTTTTCAAACGTCAGCAAATCCTTACTAATAATATTATAAATGGGAAAGTGAGTTTGTTTGTTCCGCTAACACGCCGTAACTACTAAACCGATTACTTTGAATTTTTGCAGACGTAAAGTTAGATGTCCGGATTAAATAATAGGGTACTTTTTATCCCAGAAAAAATTGATATTCCCGAGGGAAAATAAAAGCATTGGTATAGATGGCGCTGTGTGTATTGGTACCTATATTATTATGTCACAGGCTAATTTTATCCTTTTGTGACGCGAGCGAAGCCGGGGTAAAAGCTAGTACAAAATGAATAATAGTCTCTCAGTCAGTCCGTCAGTAAAGGTAGGTGAAGCTAGGTGCTCGTTCCGAAATGTAGATTCGAATGGAGAAGAACGAGCAATAAACTCCATTCGTTACTCTTTATAAAAAAGTATTTTCTACAATGTCTCTGTACGGGTAACTGTTATAATATTTTATGTCTCACGATAGTTATCATACAAATGAATATTATATTGTCACCTACAGAATAAATTACCTGAAGCTAAACAAGAGGTAGGTATAAAATATAATTTCTAAAACAACATGGATTCGAACAAAATAACAATGAATATAAAATCTCGAATTTATTTTCAACGTGCAGAAAGATAACAATCACGTAATATATATATTTTGTTAATAATACATGAAAATAATTTTGATCAAGTTTTTATGTCTTTGTTAGTTCCAATCGTTTCGTTAGCTATACCTCACAATGTACCTTTTAGTACTAAGGATTATGTGTCCGATCTCTTGTAGCGATCCATCAAAGTCTATGGGGTCAGTGACCTCACGTCCCTACTTCGAAGGCTAAACTCCTTATAAAACTGAAACGTAACGTTAGCTTGTGACCTCGAGAGGCGCAGTAATGCGATTAACCTTTTTAGTCGGACGGTGACAAACGTGCGACTTGTCGCGTCTTACAAATTGCCCTCTGTCGCAGTCAGGTTAACTAGCCAGTTTGAACGCGACGCTATTTTTAAGCGCATGTTAAGCTTTTGTCTTTGTCGCTTAGTTTGCAGTTTGCCTTACGTGATTTATTCGCTAAAACAAAGTAAATTCTTGATTCACTTCTGATTGACTGCACGGTTGGTGCGGTGGCTGGGCAACCGGCTGCCGTAGAGCGTGTCGCGGGTTCGATTCCCGCACGGAACAACACTTTGTGTGATCCACAAATTGTTGTTTCGGGTCTGGGTGTCATGTGTATGTGAACTTGTATGTTTGTAAACGCACCCACGACACAGGAGAAAATCCTAATATGGGGCATAGTTTTTTAAAAAAAAAAAAAAAAAAAAAACTTCTAAAACTTTATACAAAGATGTATTTTCTATACAAGGACGTTGGAAAAAAATGGACATAATGTCACTTAGAAATGATTGAAGCACCAAAATGTCAGTGGTGTATTTATGTGTGCGTGTGTAATGGGTTACCACGTTAACAGACTTAAGAAAATGACAGATGTCCTTCGTATCAATGTGTGTATGTTCTGCGTGTAAGTATATAGTAGGCAGGTGCCACAGTCGTTGTTTCAAGAGACTGTTACCGCCTTTTTTTCTATACTAGCGACCGGCTCCGGCTTCGCACGGGTGCAATATGCATGTTTTATACATATAAACTTTCCTTAAAAATCACTCTAAATATTAAAAAAACCGCATCAAAATCCGTTGCGTAGTTTTAAAGATCTAAGCATACATAGGGACAGGCAGACGGCGGAGAGCGACTTTGTTTTATACTATGTAATGACTATGAAGTGATTTAATTCGAATAAAAGTTGTATTTGCTCTTATACTTAAAAACTTTGTATATTATACTAGTTTATAAAGCGCGGGCCTACGGACGGCGAGCATGGGTAGCTCGCCGGCCGACCAGAGGCCTTAGTATGAGTTTGATTTACGTTTAAAGTATTCGAAACGAGTACGCGTTCGGCACTCTGATTGGCCGGCGCCAATGAAGCAACCAATCACAGCGCCGAACGCGTACTCGTTACGATTACTTTAAACGTAAAACAAACTCGTACTAAGGCCTCTGAGCCAGACCCGAGCGTACGGCGCGTCGCGTTCCGCACGCGCCTCAAAGAGCCATCAGACCCCCACGGATGAGGCCCAATAGGGC